TCAAACAAGTGCATAAGGTTATCTTCATACCCATCACATGACACACCCACCATTTTGCTGAATTCCTGAATTTTACGGAGAACCCAAGTTGAAGCCGGAGGTCTAACATCAAGCGCGGTAACTTTTACTATCTCCCCTGCATAGCAAATATGTATACATACTGAATGTGTAAGAAAAGTACATGCATGCTCATCCTATCAGTGTAATTTGCAATCTTTGATTGTTTTGAACCCAAAGATAGAGATTGAATTTAATCAACTTCATTTAGAGGTGTTATCCTTTTCTTAAAAACTCGATCTCTTCCCGTACAATGTATCCCTTGTCACATCCCTTTAGATGATGATGACTATATCCCTCAAGTGTTCTTACTTAGGTGGTGAGCTATTTTACTTTTCCTTTAAATTATTTTCATTCATTCTTATCCAAACCAGTATCAAATTCGTATCAAACACAAGTTATCGTAGTTGGATGTTGTCGTGGTCAAAATGTCAGTGAACCTCGTGCTCGTGAAAGAGAATTTTGCAACGTCTTGTGATGAAGAGTTAGGAGACAATTGCAATAGCTCCAACAATGTCGGGAACCAGTTCAAACCAATACAACACATTAACTCCAGTAATAAATCGGAGATAGAACATGCAAGAAAGGAAAGCAACATCTCTTACAAAACTATTAGATGTAATACTTGAAAAGATTCCACGAAGCCTTCCACCAACAACTTATTCTGCATTGGATTTATTTTATATTAGAAGCATCTTTTCCAAACAAGTCATCTTATAAGCTCAAAGCATAAGGATATTCAACAATAAGTAAATGACATTTTTGCTGAATGTGGAAAAACGACACCACATCAAGTTTTCTCTAACCAAAGAAGAACGACACTCTTCTTCTTGAGTATTACATGATGACAGAATATTTTGTAAAGGATGATGACATAGTTATTAAAACCGGTGAAGGTCCGGTTAGCCTTAATCGGTCCATTATCAAAGGACCCGATCAAGAACCGTTCAAACTAATCCATAATCTACGGAACCGGACGAGTTGATTGCGGACTGAATCCGATTTAATCTGAACTGATTGTTACCAAATTGGTAACATAGCAAAATTAATATAACTTTTGCAAAGGAGAAATTCGAACATATGCATGTTGTGGGAAAGATGAGCACCTTAACCACTTTAACAAGTACAGAATCTTTATAATGTGTGTGTGAAATATATATATATATTCAGTTTTAGAAAAGTTTTGTCTATTTGTTCTAAAGAATATTTTTTAACTAGAATTCAACCCAACAATGACCCAACTGTTAAACCATTGACCCACCGGTTGAACCATTGACTTAAGACCCAATGATTTAACCAGGTCGATGATCGGGTCGAGACTAATAACTATAGATGATTAAGTTTTGATTCTTGTTGGAATAGAACGGTTTCTTCGGTATACAAAGCTTCATCCATAAACTAATGGCCTTTGTTAGTTAACCAATAGACAAAAATACTTACAGAATTGACCTATCTCGTAATCGTGGTGCCTCATACGCTACCAAAACATGTCCCACCACCTCAACTTATGAACTAGGGCCACTTTAAGTATACACAAAACATGCCTCAACCAACTACGCCATCCATCCTTTATTTTTTCCTCAATTGGTGCCTCCACTTGTATATTCTCATTTATCACATTCATTTTAGTATAACCACACGTCCATCTTATCATCCTTGTATCCACTAAATTAATCGTATAAAAATTTTGTACTTGACTACCCAACACTCAGTACCATAAAACATGGCTAAAATTATGTAGAACTAACGTCATCAACCTAGCTCTAATGCTATGCATTACATAACTAAATAAATCACTTCTAAGGACAAAGAGATTATCTATTGTAACTTTACCACTATCCCAATTCTTACTATAACTAAAGTGATATCATATATTCTCTCTTGATTCTATTTAGCCTAATTTGGTCCTTAGATTCCAAACTCCGAATTACTCCCTTAACTACACAAAGGGGGTACTACCTCTCACATTCGTAACTACTTATATTTTATAATAGTGATTTCTCTAAAGGAAATTCTTTTTTTCTCACCAGAACCCAGTCTGCCATGGCACCTCTCTAAGTGCCCATCTTTTATTCTAAGGGCTTGCTTGGTCGTAATATAACAAGTATTATAGTTTAGAGCCTTCGATGAAAGGGTTGGTTCGGCAGGTTTGGTAGAAATGCTGTTATTAGTGGTGGGTGCTCCCAGCCGTAGTTGATTCAAATATGTAAATAAATCGCGAATATGATCCAAGTAGTAAATGCCCAAGTTTCCTTAACATGCTCATATCAGATTTTGAGGTTCATCTCACCTTTTCCCTAAAATCTCAATGGGGATAGAAGAGGTTTTGATAAAATGTGATGTTGACTCTAGCCCTCAGAGAGGATAAAGAGTAGATTTTGTTTGCATGCAAAAACAAGGACTGAAATCTCAGGATAGGATTTAGACGAAGGTCAAAGGACAATATGATCACAGACCCAGATTTATCCACATAGATTCATGGAAGCACGATTATAAAAAGGCTTGGTCCGATTCCAAACGAAAAAGATAATCTCCGGAACTTTGAAAAGTCCAAAGAACGCAGCTTAGCTGGCTTTTTCCTACCTCAAGATAAACCATATGCAAATTTTGTTCTTTCCGCACTAGCCAAACAATAAACAAAGTATACCCTAGAAAAAAAAACATAACAAAACATAATCACAGAAAATATGTAATATCAAATTCCCATTAATACAACCACGGGCCAAGAAACTTTCAGATTTGATACAAATTAAATTGAGTATTCAAGGAAAAATGAGACCTGTTGGCACCATTTAGAGAGGACATTGAGGCGGAGCATTCGCTGCTGGGTTTTAACAATATATTTAAGGATCATAATCTTCTTCTCCGAGTCAGAGAGTTCAGCAGATTTAGATTTCTCCACCAATTCCTTCAGCATTACATACGACTCTTCCGCGGCGCGGCCAACCAGCGCCTTGAAATCCACAGTCTCTTGCCCTAGTTCCC